GATTGTATGTATGCCGGCCGTGCATCACATATGAGGTTGCCCCAAAAGTAGACCATCCTTTTGAAAAATCAAACTTTTTTGTTTTCTTAGCAGAATTGGATTACCATTTGGTTAACTGAAGCAAGGTCTACATAATTACTGCCAAAGATTCATCTTAGTCGTAATCCAGGTAAAGTTTGGAACCAACGTCGAAGACAATTTTATCGCTCGAAATGGAGGTGCGAAGAAAAAATGCTGGAAGTTGCTAGTCCAAATTGGTCCTCATACGACAGATTGATAGTAGTATTCATAAAGGCATTTGCTAGATTCTTTCGCGCATAGAATTCGAGGAAAAATGGGTCAAAAGTGGCAAACTCCGCGCCCAGCTCCTGCCACATATGTGGTCGGCATTTTTGCCTAATTTGGTTCCCTGAAGTTGAGCCGAGAAAAAAATCCAGCAAATGTATTACTACTGAGTACTACTATGTGGCACTATGTGGCATGTATGATGACCAAACTGGAGATCCGTTTTTGGGAATCCGTTTTCCTCGAAAGATCCGATTTTGAGATACTTGAAAAATTTCACTTTTTGGCTCCAAAGTCTACCCGGATTTGACTTGAATGGATTTCTGGTGGTCGTTATGTAGAACTTGCTTTACTCTATCGAATAATAGTCCAAGTCTGCTAGGAAAAAAGAAACAATTTGATTAAAAATACGTTTTTCTTTTGAGACAACCTAATATTTTTAGGAATCATCAATCGACTACTACTTTTTTCCACATGTGATCTTAGTGATCAATTTTTCTTTTTTAGTGACCTTGACAAAATAAAAAACCGTAAACGTTTTGTGGCTCATAGGCGTGTAAGGAGCGGTGGCCTAATTACTGAACAACAAGTATCCCGAAAAATTTGGCACTTCAGCTCTGCTGATGTCGTTTTTTACAATTTGAGCATTCTCTATTTTTTGATTTGTGCTTTATGTACATTCTATAAAGAGAAGATGTTTATCATGGTTAAGTAGCTGCGTATATTTACACATCTTTGGTATATGGCCGCGCGAACAAAAATCGATAAATCGATCATTCCAATGGCAGCGAACAGCGACTAGAAGAGTATGAGAGATAAATGCATATGAATG